CCCCCCCCCACGGGACCCCCCCCGTTGCCAGGCAGATTTGGGACACCCTCGTGCCCGGCCACGCCCCCTGCCCAGGCCTGGGGCGCTGCGTTGGGTGGGTTTTTTTTAATCTTTAAACTAATGATTGGCAGCGGCGCCGGCCAATAGAAAGGTGGGTTGCCTGCCCTGCAGCCAATCGGCGCGAAGAGTCAACAGTAGCCCCACCTCCGTAGTAAGCCGTGATGAAGAAGGCGCGGTTTGTTTTTGATTGACGGGCACATTGACCAATCAGCGGCGCGACCCCGTGGTGCGCGCCTCGCCCTGCTGTGAGGGAGGAAAGAGGCGCGGTCTACATTTGACTGATAGCCGAACTATCCAACAGGAGCCGGCGTGCGCCCAAGGGGAGCCAATGAGCGCGCGGCCCGCGGGCAGGGGGCGGGGCGACGGGGCCGGTTCCCCGGGCCGGGCCGCGCTGGCTCCTCCCGGGGCCGGCTGAGGTGATGGCGGCGCGGGGAGGGGCCGGGCCCGCCGCCCTTATCCGCCCGCGCAGGCCGCGCTGGGGCCGCCGATAGGGGGGCCGGCGGCAGGAAGCGGGGGAGGCCCCGCGGCCGGCGGAGCCGGTTCTGCGGCCGGGCCGGGAGCGGGGGCAGGCCCGGGGCCGGGCCCCGCGCGGTGCCTCAGGGACCGAACGGGGCAGAGCGGCGGGAGCGGTCCCGGGGGGTTTGGGATCGGTCCCAGTGGGATCTAACCCTGGGATCGTTCCAGATGGAATCCGGGATCACTCCCGGTGGGATCTGGGAATTCTTGGGGATATTTGGGGGATTTTTTATTATTTTGGGGGGGATTTTAAGGATTTTTGGGACAAATTTTGGGGGTTTTTTTGGGAATTCTTGAGGGACTTGTTTGGAATTTTGGGGGGGGATTTTTTGGGAATTTTTGGGGGAATTTTGGGGAACTCCGAGGGGGTTTTTGGGGAATGGATGGGATTTTGGAGCTATTTTTAATGGATTTTTTGAGGGGATTTTTGTAAATTTTTGAGATTTTGTTAAAAATTTTTGGGGAATTTTAGGGGAATTTTTCAGAGTTTTGGGGGTTATTTTGAGGAATTTTTTGAGGATTCTTCAGGACTGGGATTCAGAGGGAAAACAGCTTTGGGCTCTGGACAGAAATTCCTTTTTTTTTTTTTACATTATCTATGGGATGAGATTTTAGGGTGAAATCCTGGGTATTCCATGAAACTCTCCCATTCCCTAAATTAATTCTATTTTTAAGAATTTTGTGCTCGTTTCTCCAGAGAATTCCATGATTTAAAGAAGAAAAACTCCAATGAAATCAACCCAGAGAAAATCTTGGATTTTTCCTCCAAAATTCCAAGGAATTTCAGCTCCTCCTTCCCATGGGGAACAAAAAAAAAAGGAAAAACTGCCACGAAAAGCTATTAAATAATTTAATATACAATGGTAAAAAGCTCTGTACATTGGAATTTCCGCCGGGAATTTGGGAATTCCGGGAGCTGGATCAGCTCAGAGCTCCCACCCCAATCCCCACCAGAATTCCCAAGGGATTTTCCGGCTCTTTCACCGATTCTGATGGATTTTTACAGGAGACTGAAGGCGGAAAATTGGGAATTTTGGGGAATTTTTGGGAATTCTGCTCCTTCCTCGGCGTCTCTGGGGGGTGGGAAAGGATCTTTTCCCACCTGGGGAATTCCCAAAGCTCAGCCCCAACCACAGCTCTCCGCAATTGGGAGTTTTCCCAATTCTTTCCCCATTTTTTTCCGGGTTTTTCCCCAAAGTTTGTGGGGTTTGGCCGCCCTGGAAGTGCTCAAATGCAGGTGGGAGCAGCCTGGAATAGTGGAAGTGTCCCTGCCCTGGGATTGGGATCATCCCGAGGCTTCTCCAGCCCAGAAGTTGGGAATTTGAGCCCAAAATTCCAAGCTGGATCTGAGTTGGGCCTGAAATTGCAGAATATTCTGGAGTTAGAAAGGAAAATTTGGATTTCCTGGCTGGGATTTGGGAATGTCAGCCTTTCCCAAGCCAGGAAAATTCCAAGGAAAAAGATTCCAAGGAACTGTTGCACTCGAGAGGAAATAAAACCTGGGAATGTACTTCCCAAAAAACTGAAAAACTGGGAAAACTCCCCCAGTTCCTGATGAAAATCCCCAGATCCCAAATTCCTGGGATGGTTCTGTCTCTGTGGGATCCCAAAAAAACCCCAGGAGTTTCCCCACAGGAATTCCAGCCCTGGATTCAGGCTGGAAAATCCCTGGATTTGGGAATTTTGGGGGATTTTTTTCCCTGCTTTTTTTTTTCAGTTCCAGTGGCACTGAGGGTTTTCCTTAATCCCCCAAAAAAAAAATAAAATCTGGAATAAAAACTCCCAATCCTCAGTCCCCAAAACTTCCAGGGATTTCCAGATCCTTTGCAGACTTAGGACCAGGACTTCCATAGAAAAAAAACCCTGGAAAATGCAAATTTTTGGGAATGGTACCAAAAAACCCCTCATCCCTGGAATGAATTCCAGAGGGAGAAATTGAGGAATTTGGGTGGAAAAAATTCCTTGCACTGGAAAAAGATGGGATTTGGGAAAAACCAATTATGGGAATGAGGGAAATGTAAAGGGATTTTGAGGTTCCTTCCCATCCAGGTGGGATTGAAAATTCCCAAAAATCTCTGGCAGTTCCACGGCTTCTGTTTTCCTCTCTCCAACAATTCCAGAGGTTTTTCCCAGAAATCTGGAGAAATTCCAGCTGGGAAAAAACAACTCAGTTCCACCCCAGGCACTGCTGGGATCCAGCATTCCCAGATCTCTGGGAAATCCAAAAAACTGGGCTAAAACCAGGGAATTTAACCTGGAAAAAGAAATTTTGTGCCAAGGGCAAGGCTGGAATTCCATCCCAAACCTCTGGATTGGGATTTATTCCCAGGATTTGGGAATTCTTAAGGCACAGGTGGTGCCTTCAGCTTGGAAAAATTTGGGATCAGCAGGAAAACTCCGGATTTTTGCCAATCCCAAAAGCACGGGGAGAGCTGTGGCTGCAGGGAGGGACATCCCAGGAAATCCTGGAATTCCTCCTTCCCAAAAAAATGGGAATTTCCCCTCGGGGAATTCCAGCTGGGAATCCAATCCATGACTTCCTCATCCCCTTATCCCCGAGGATTCCCAGCTTGCCCTGGCAATTCCCTCCAGGATCAAACCTTGGGATTCACCTGGACATTCCCACCTGGAAAAGCAGCTCCGGAGGCTCTGGGAATCCCTGGAAAATTCCTGGGTTTTTCTCACTACCAGAGGGAATTCTGAAGCTTTTCCATGGATTTTTTTTTTGTTTCTTTTCCCAAGTTTTTGATGCTTTTTTTCTTTTTTTTTTTTCTTCCCCTTCCAGGATGTTGTTGGTGGATATCCTGGAGTTTTCCTGGAGTTAGTTTTCCTGGAGCTCACAGCAGACTGGCCAGGCTGGTGGTGGGGCCGTTCTGGGCCTGGAACTGCACTGGGGGGGGTCCATCCGTCCACTGCAAGGGAAAAACGGGATCAGAATCCCAGGGAAAATTCCCAGGAAATTCCCTCAGCATCACAGAATTCCCAGGAAAACCCTCCCTCCCCCAGGGGTCCCAAATTCCAACCCCTCATCCCACTGGGATTTGGTTTTCCAGGGTTTTTTTGGGGGGGGGTTTCAAAGCCAAAATCTCAGGAAAAATGGGGAAAATTCCCTCAGGATCAAGGAATTCCCAGGGAATCCCACACTCCACCAGGGAACCCTGCTGGGATTTGGTTTTCCAGGGATTTTTTGGCATTTCAAAGCCAAAATCCCACTGGGAGGGATTTGGATGATCCAGAGGGGAAAAAAATCTCAACTTCTGATGCCACAGCACTAAAAAAACCCTTCAAAAATCCCATTATTCCCACCCACATCCTGATTTTCTTTGGGATATTTTTGAGGGATTTCTTTCTGGGAATGCCAAGTGCAGGATCCCAGGGATTGGGAGGGATTTGGATGATCCAGAAGGAGGAAAATCCCAACTTTGGATGCGACAGCAATTAAAAACCTACAAAAATGACCTCAAGGGTGCTTTTTGCCATGGGCCAAGCGGGGATTTTGGGAATTCTGGGAATTTTGGGAATTCTGACCGTGATCAGGTTGTGCTCAGGGAGGCTGCAGGCCTCGATGTGGTCCTGGAGCAGCTGCTGGGAGAAGTTCTGGTGCATCTGGGCGGCCTCGTGGGCATCCATGGCGTTGCCACACGCCTTGTTCAGGTCTGCAAGAGGCACAGAAATCCTGGGATTTGTCCCATTCCCACCCCTGAGCCCCCTCATCCCAAAGAACCTCCCTGGGTTTGGGGTCTGCAGCGAAATCCCAAGGATTCCCTGGGATTGCAGGGAATAAAATCCCAAAATTGCCTCCATTTAAGGCAAAATCTGCCCCAAAAGCTCCACGGAGATCCCAAATTTTTCCCTTTTCCAAAGGAATTCTTGGGATTCCAGCCCACTCCCTCCCCACCCTCCCAGCCTGGGATTCCTTCCCAAAATCTCCATTCCCTGTGTCCCATCCCTCCATCCCCTACCCCAAATCCTCTCCTGGAGCCCCTTCCCCCTCTGGAATCAGCTCCTGGAGCTGCACATTCCCAGCCCTGGGTCAGCTCCACCCTCTCCTTGGCATTCCCACCCTCCCCAGGCCCTCTCCTGGTTTTCCAGGACAATCCCAGATCCTGAACCACCCCTGGAGCTGCACACTCCCATTCCCCACGTTCTCCCTGGACCCCCCCCCTGCCCAGACCCTTTCCCTGCTCCCGGCTGCTCCCAGATCCCGGATTTACCCCGGAGCAGGGCGGAGGACCAGAGCTGCACGGACATGTCTGGGATCTTGCTGGCCAGCTGCATGGCTGGCACCACCATGTTGTTGCTTTCCTGGGAAAACCGGGGAGGGAAAAGGGAAAATTGGGATTTTGGGATTTTTTTCCTGCCCTTTCTAGCACGGATTGAGTGGAAAAGATGGAAAATTCCCAGTGGGAAATTGGATTTTTGTCACTCTACTCGATGGGACGGAAGGCAGGAAAATGCTCAAGATTGCCAAGGATTTCTTGGGATTGAAGGGAATAAAATCCCACAATTCCCACGGATTCCCTGAGATAAAAAGGAATCAGATCCCAAGGATTTTCTGGGATGGAAAGGAATAAAATCCCAAGAATTCCTGAGGATTGCAGGGAATAAAATCACAAAATTCCCAAGAATTCCCTGGGATTGCTGGGAATAAAATTCCAAGATTACCAGGGATTCCCTAGGATGGAAAGAAATAAAATCCCAAGATTCCTACAGATTCCTGGGGACTGCAGGACAATGGATTCCCAAGGATTCCCTGATTGAATCTGAGATTTTCCTCAGGGATTTTTTGGGGATTTTTTCTGGGAATGCCCATGGCAGGATTGCAGGGACGGGGGCTGTGGCAGTCACCCTGTGGTTGCCCAGCACGTAGAAGATGTGGCCCAGCAGCACCAGCGAGCACGCCGTCAGGCGGTTCAGGTCCTCGGCGTTCGACATCTTCAGCGTCTCCCGCAAAAAGCGCCTGGGAAAACGGGAAAACGGGAAAAACGGGATTGGAGCCCCCCGAGCAGCCTGGGGCGACTCCTGCAGGGATGGAGGGGCAGCAGCTGGGAGAAAGGGCTCCCACTAAGGGAGCTCCTGAGTCTTCTCTGGGACTGGGACCTTGGATTGGAATGAGAGGCACGAGATTCCCAGGGATTCCAGGGAACAACAGTCCCAAAATTCCCAGGGATTCCAGGGAATAACAGTCCCAAAATGTCAGAGATTCCAGGGAATAACAGTCACAAAATTTCCAGGGAATAACAGTCCCAAGATTCCCAGAGGTTCTTTTGGATTGCAAGGAATGAGATCCCAACGATTCCCTGGAATTGAAGGGAATAAAATGCCCAAAATTCCCAAGGGTTCCTTGCGGTTCCAGGGAATAAAAGTCCCAGATTCTCAAGGATTCCTTGGGATTGCAGGGAATGATTCCCAAGGAAAAAGCTCAACCCCCACCACATCCCTGCTCTTCATCCCCAGCCAATCCAGGAGAAATCCATGGGAATGGGATGGACACAAAGCCTTGGCATTCCCACTCCAATCCCAAAAAAAGCCAGGGTTTTTCCCACATGTTTTTCCCACATTTTTCCTGCTTTTCCCAGGGGTTGGACTCACTTGGCCTCGTTGTATCTTCCCTGGAAAAAGGAGAAGAGCCCTCGGATGTAGAAGGCTGCAGCCCGCAGACAGTGGGAACTATGGAAAGAAAACCATGGATACCTCAGGAACCCACCCAAATTCCAGGAATTCCACCCCAAAATCCAACTTCCAGGCAAAATATTCCATTTGAGCCCCATCCCGAGTTTCCCCTTGGAGTTAAGTTGGATTTTTTCCCCTAATTTGTTGAAAATCCTGCTGCAAATCTGTCGTTCCCAGCCCGGAATGTTGGGATTTGTGGGAATTCTCACCTCACTGGGAAGTTGTGGTCGGGATTTATCCTTTCCAATAAACTGTAGAGCTGGGAAGTGGCAGAGGAAAAGGAAAAATCAATTTTCCAAGGAAAAATCAGCACCAAAACAGTGAAATTCCACCCAAACCAGCCCAAGTTCATCCCAATACTGGGAATCTTAGGCTTATTTTGATCCCAAAAATCCAAGTTTTATCCCAAATCTCCTCCCATTCCACAGCATTTCCTGAATAACTGTATTCCCACAGAAAACTTGGAGCTGGTGGATCTGACAATGAATTTTATATTGGACTTGATTAATGAAAACCAGAATTTAACTAAAGAATTCACAAACTTTAAGGATATTTTTTTGCTTCCCCTGTGAAGGAGCTGCTGCCAGCAAGTCCTGGATGGCAAAAATACCCAGGAAAAGCAGAATTTCAGGAACTTTCTCCACAAAAAGTTGAGATTTCCCACTCCCTTCATGAATAAGATTCTGCCAGCAAGGCCTGGATGCCAAAAATACCAAGAAAAAGGCAAATCCCAGGAATTTTCTCCACAGAAAAGCAGCATTTGAGAGATAAAGTGGGAAGAATGGTGGGAATAATCCAGAACTTTTGGAGTTTTCCAGATGATTCCTCAGGAATTTCCACACCCCTCATGACGGAGATGTGGCCAGCAAGGCCCTGATGGAAAAAATCCCCAGAAGAAGGCAAATCCCAGGGATTTTCTCCAGAGAAAAGCAGGATTTGGAGAGCCCAGCTCACCTCCTGGTGCCGATTCCCCTCCCGGATGTAGACGCTGGCCAGGTTGGTGACAATGAACGCCCACAGCTCCTGGTGGGTTGTGAGCTGGAAAAGACAAAATTCCCAAATATTTCAGTCCTTTCCTCACAATTTGTTGCCATTGCCATTAAAATCCTGGCTAAAAATTCACACGTTGATATTTTAATGTTAAAAATCCACCTCGATCCAAGGAAAATCGTTAATAAATAATGGAATTAAGGAAGGTTTCCCTTCCAAATTCACATTGCCATACTCAAGTTTCCAGGAGAAAATTTGGGAATAAAATCTCACCCTCAGTGCTGTAGTGAATTGTGCTTCTGCATTATCCATGCAGTTGACAGAGATGCAGTAGAGACCCTGGAAAAGAAAGCATATTTTTGGGAATGCAGGCCAAAACATTCCCAAATCCATGGAAATATTGGGATAACAGCAGGAAGAAGGGAGCTACGAGTCTCAGGTGTGGGGAAAATTAAGAATATCCACAAAATGTCCTTTAAAATAAATTATTCATGGGGAAAAAGCTTAATTTAGCTAAAAAATCTTTATTGAAATCATGGAAAACTCAGTACTCCCTACAAAAACCCTTCCCCTTCCACAATTCCCACACAAAACCATCTCCAGTGGGCACAGCTGAAATCCCTGGATTTCCCCTTTTCCAGGAGATTCCTCCCAGATTCCCTCTCCCTTCATGAAGGAACTGCTGCCAGACAAGGCCTGGATGTCAAAAATACTCAGCAAAAGCCAAATCCCAGGAACTTTCTCCACAGAAAAGTGGGATTTTTCTCTCCAGGAATTGCTGGAGCAACTTGGGATAGTGGAAGTGCCCCTGCCCACCCAATTCCATCCTGTAATTCTGTTTCCAAAGGGTTTTAAGGTGGGGATGAGCAGATCTGGGTGGTGCAGATATGGAATTCCCAGGGAATCTCCTCTCTGGAATTCCGGGTGGGATGCAGAATTCCCAGGTTTCACCCCAAAAACTCACCAGGAGCGTGTGCAGCTGGGCAGCGTGGTTGGAGAAGAGCCTGGGAGACTGCTGGCACAGCTGGCAGACCTGGGAAATCTGGGCAAGAGCACAATTCCCCATTTTGACACTTTTCCCTCAGTTTTATGCTCTAATCCCGCTCCTTGCACCCTCATGGATGCAGGGATTGGCTCCAGGATCTCCAGTCATGGATAAAGGGAGGCTGGATGTGCTGCCAGCACAGGAAAAGGGATTTCCTCACATCCCTCCCACACTGCAGCTGCTTTGGAATGGTTTCCTCCACCCCCTGGAATTCACAGCCACGGATCCCTCCCGAAATGCTCAATGTTTTCCAGGAAAAGTGGGATAAAACCTCCCAAAATCTGGGATTGGGATGAGCTTCAGGAGACTGAAGCAGGAGGCTGAATCCCTCCCCATTCCCAGCACATTCCCAGTAAAGCTGACAGCAGGGACTGGATTCCCAGGACTTTAAAAGGATTGGAAAAATGGGAAATAAAAAGTCCAGTTTCCTCTGGAATCGACCAGGAAAAAGGAGGAAAAGCAGGAATGTGAAAAACTGGGAAACATCTGGACAAGGCAGGAACCCGAAGAGGAAGGAGCCACTCTGGAATGGATGGAATGGGAAAAAACCACTGGAACCAGCCTGGAATTGCCACCAGGAAGGTGTCAATCCAACCAATTACTGATTATTCCACGATCAGTTCCGAAGTGCCCTTAAATAAATATTTAATCCCACATTTCCCAAGTCCTGAGCCCCAGCAAGGCTGGCTGTATCCATGAACAACCCAGCAGGAATTCCCACCTCAGCCCCAAATTGCAATTCCCACATTTTAGAGGCTGTTCCTGCAGAATATTCCCATTTTTTGGGAGCCATTCCCACCAGGAAATGCTGGAATTCCCACGTTACCTCCTGCAGGGCTGTGGCTTTGTGTCCTGTGACCAGCCTGCACATGATGATGTGTTCCAACAAAATCACTTGGAATGAGGACAGGATGGGGCTGCAGTCCAGCACTGGGAAAGGAGCAGGGGCAATTCCATCAGGCATTTATGGAATGTTTCAAATCCCACCCAAAAAAAACCCCAAAAAGTCGATTTTGGACTCCAAAGCCACCACCTGGCCTTAAAATCAGGGGTTTAATCTCAGTTTTAATTTTTAGGCTGACTCAGCAGCTCAACAAGGCTGTGGGATGGGTTTAAATGAGGAATAAATAATGGGATTTTCCAGGATTTTCCTGAAAGAAAATCCAAGCCCTTTTTCCTTACTTTTGAGTTTCTCCAGCTGCATGAGGGCTTTGTCTGTGTACTTCTGAGCCTTCTCCAGGTAGCCTGCCTGCATGGAATGCATCACTGTCACCTGCAGGGAAGCACAGCAAGGATTATCCCCCTCAGGAATCCCCCTGGGATGCAATTCCCACAGCAGAAATCCCTGGAAAAGTACCCTGGAGCACCCCAGGACAGTGGGAGGTGGGACTGAGAGGGTGGGAATGCATGATTTTAAAGCCCCTTCCCAGCCCAAACCATTCCATGATTCCCAAAATTTGTCTGTGCAGAGAGGGAAGGGCTGGGAATTCACAGAATTCCTCAAATCCCAGATTTTTAACATTAGCAAGGATTAGAATAATCTCCAAGAAATGGAACAAAATCCTTCAGCAATTCCAAGTCCAGCTCTCCTCATGCTGACAAAATTAAGCCAAAGCGGTTCTGCTTTGTACAAATGACTCAATTTTCATGTGAATCAGGTATTAATTAACCAATTAACAAGTTATTAATTAATTAATTCCCATTTCCAGCCTGGAAGCTCCTCACACACTGAGCAGCCCCCTCAGCATCACCCCAGGGTCGTGAGGGAAAAACAGCCCAAGGCAGCCACAGACCCCATCCCTGCTGGCTCCAAATCCCTCATGAACCCTCATTAATCGACAATTAGCGTTAATTAGGAGCTCTCACCAGGTAGACCAGCACACACATGTGCTCCTTGGGCAGCCAGTGGAAGAGGTCGGCGGGGTTGCTGGGCAGGATCTCGTCGTCGTGCAGGGTGGAGATGGTTTGGATGCACTGCTGCAGCTGCTTCAGGCACGGCTTCACGCTCTTCACCTGCCCGGACACAATTCCCAGCGGGAATGCTCACGTTCCCACCCTGGAGTGCTCTGGGAGGGCAAGCTTCCCAGCAGAGCGGTGATTTGCCAGATTTAGGGGGTTGGTTTAGCATTGATGACCCTCAGCACTTCACGGGGGTGAACGGCAGCAAGGGATGCTCAAAATATTCCCAAAATTCCCCCAAAAATTCCTGTTATTCCCTCCAACACACCAGGGAAGCAACAGAGACCACCACGGATATAAAAATATCATGGACAACATCTCCAAATTAACGTGATTTCCTCACTCTTCATTTAATTTGGGAATAAAACCAACAGAAGTTTACTTCCATTACAAAAAAAAAAAGCCCCTCAGGGCTGATGTTTTAGGGAATATCCCTGTCCCAACTCCCCAGCTGGAACGTGGCACGTACCTGGCCAGCATCCAAGTAATGTGTGACCTGCAGGACCAGGAAGAAGACCCTGAGGGATTCCTTCTGGATGGGGTTGCCCTGCCAGTTCTCCACGATCTGCCCACACAGCGTCAGCAGCGGGTGAACCTCCTGCAGCTTCCTCTCCATCAGCAGCAGCTGCAATTCCCAAGGAAAATCCAGCTTTTTCCAGGATGAACCCTCAGGGAATGACAACTTCCCGTGGAAAATGGGGCTGCCTCAAGCCTGGAATTGCCCAAGGCCAGGCTGGAGCTGCCTGGGATAGTGGAAGGTGTCCCTGGTTCTTCCAAGCCAAGTAATTCCATGGATTCTCTAATTCCAGGTATTAGGATTGGAATACTCACCTGATTCCCACAGCCCTTTCACCCCACCAGCTTTTCCATCCCTCATTACAAAAGCTCCAGTGAAAATTTCCAAAAATCCTTTTATTTTTCCCAGAAAAAAAATAGCGAAAAGCTGGATTTATCCATAGGAATCCTGCTTATCCCTCCCCTTCCACAAAAAAAAAAAAAAAATCCTCTGGAATTTACAATTAAACGGGAAATAATTTATTTTAAAAAGAGTTCCAACTCACCATCCCCTTGCTGAGCAGAAAGAGGGCTCTGGAATGAAAGAAAATAAAGTTAAATTCCCAAAAAAAATCACTTCATCCACAAAGAAAAAAACACCAGGAAAAAAAAAATCTGCCTTTTTCTGCCTCTAAAAACAGGGGAATACAGGAATTAAGGGAGCTGACAGAGGAATTCCCAGGGAACTGGGGGAGGAAATCCCAGGGAATTCAGGGAAGGATTCCTAAGGATTCAGGGAGGGAATCCCAGGGAATTCAGGGATGAAATCCCAGAGAATGCAGGCTGGAAATCCAGGGAATTCAGGCAGGGAATCCCAGGAATTCAGGCAGGGAATCCCAGAGAATGCAGGCTGGAAATCCAGGAATTCAGGCGGAAGCCAGAAGTGTCACCTGGTGTACTCGGAGCCCACCACGCGCGCGTACTCCGCCCCCACGCCCAGCAGGTCACAGGCTGACACCAAATCCTTCTCCAGCGTGTGGAGTTGCTGAAATGGGAACAAAAAATACCACAAAAACTCAGGATTTGCTCCAGGAACCCCAAGAAAATCCCATTATCCCTAGATTTACAAATTCCTGCTCCTTAAAGGGGCTTTAGACCCGTTTTCCAAAGAAATCTGTGGCATTCCCAAAGATTTGTCCGAACCCAGGAGAATTCTTTTGTCTTCAGATTCCTAATTAATGAGGAATTGGTTAAATATTGGAGGCAGATCCTGCAAAGGGTGAAAATCCAGTGCTGGTCAGATCCCAACAGCTCCAAAAAACCCAGGGACTGTCACACTGGAGCAACAGTTCTCCCAGCAAGAGGAGCCTCCAAGGTGTGGTCCCAAATTTATCCCTTTCCCAAACCCAGGGATTCAGGAAGGGGGATTCAGGAAGAGGCTCCAAGGAAATGGGAAATCAGCAGAAAATGGGGAAAATGGGAAGCTCCAAGGAGAGGAAAAGCTTCGGAGTCCTCAGAATGAACTCCAGGAAACCTAAATATTCCTCAGGGATTTCCTGGGAAACGAAACATTCCTTAATCCTTAGGGAATTAAGGTTCTTTTTTCATAAATACACTTCAATTATCTCTATTCTCACTAATAACTTTAATTTGTAAATATTCTGGAGCATATTCCAGAGCAGGAACAGAAACTTTCCTTGGATTCGTTTCCTTGCTCCTTTCCCTGGGTACTTCTCCTTTTCCCATCCCACACTAAACATAAAACAACCAACGCTTCCAAGCCCAGCAGGATTTGCTCTCCCTGCAAGCCCCAAAATGGATTTTTTCCTCCATCCTTTAAATTCCAGGTCCCTAATTCCCACAGAGTGATCCTAGCTGATTCCTTGACCCAATCCAACAGCAATTCCCACCTGGATTTGCCCTTTCCCTCCGCACTGACAAGTTTTTAGTGGATAAAGGGATAAAAGTCACCCCTTAACAGCAATTTTTTAGAGAACAACAAGGCAAGGCTTCCAGGCTGTTTTGAACAGGGATGCAGGACTTTTTGCAGGATTTTCCCCCAGGAATTGCTGCTGCAAGGACTCACAGCCAGCTGGAAGAGCAGCCTGCAGTGCCAGTAGGGAGTCTGCTGGGAGATCTGGATGGCTTTGCGCAGCAGGGGCTTGGCCGTGTCCACGGAGTTCTGCAACACAGACACCCCGTCACCAAGAACCAGCACCCTGCAGCCCCACAGCCCTGGCACTCCCTGGAAAACCACGCTCAGCCCCAGGGAGGGTTGGGATGGGGGCATCAGAGTGCTGGAAGCAATAAAAGTAAAATGGGAGAAGTCTGGGGTTGCTGTGTCCTTGGAATGTCCAAGGTGGGGTTGGATGGGACTGGAGAAATCTGGGATTTGGGGAGGAATGGAGAAATCTGGGATTTGGGGAGGTGTCCCTGTACGTGGCAGGGTGGGATGGGATTTAAGGTCTTTCCAATCCAAACCATTCCAGGATGCTGGGATTCAAAACCCCAGGAAATGGTTTTGGAGGAAATCAGCACAATTTCCTAACGACAGAGATGAACACAAAATTCAGGATGATCCAAATGGGGCTAAAACATGGAAAAGAAGACTTTGGACAAGGAAAGGAGCAACAGGACACAGGGAATGGCTTCCCAGTTTAGGGATTTTGGGATGGAATTCCTCCCTGGGAGTGTGGGATGGGGCTGGGATAGAATTCCCACTCATCCCTGGAATTGCTCATGTTGGAGCAACCTGGGACAGAAAAAGTCCTTCCCAAGGAACTGGATGATCCTTCAGGTCCTTTCCAACCCAAATCACTCCAGGATTCCAAAATCCTGAAGAAAATAATGGATTTCCCTCCCTCCCCTAAAATAAACATTTGTTTAATCAGGAACCAAAAATGTACTTGGCCAAGCAAAATCCTTTTACAGTGGGAAACTCTTCCTGCAATTCCAGCAAAAGCCTCCTCAGTGAGGAAGGAAGAAAGCCTCTCCTGTCAGAAATCTGATTTTTCACGGGAACACCCCGTTCCAAGCCCGAATTCGAGGGGCACAGAGGGGTTTTGGGGGGCTTCTCTCACCTCCTGGCAGTAGAGCTCCGACAGCAAACTGGCTGCCTCAAACTTCACATCTTCAAACTGTGGGATCTGGCACCAGGGTTAAGGGAACCACAAAACCTGGGTGGGCAACAGCAGCAAAGCCTCCAAAACCCTCAGGAAAATGGGGATGAGATAGGATTTAGGGTCCCTTCCAACCCAAACCCCGTGGTGCTGTGATGAGGCACCCATTCCGTGCCCCCACCCCCAGGCCCTGAGGTGTTTTTGGGAGTTTCCTTGGAGCTGTTCGGAGCTGGGAGCCCTTCCTGGATCCCGGGAAAAGGATACCTGCTGGGATATCAGCCACTGCAAGAGAGCACAGCGGGTTAGGCTGGCACTAAGCCCCACCAGAGCCGCCCTGACTCCCTCCCGCTCCGTGCCAGCAGCCCCCACCGCCCCCTGCCCTGCTCCTCACCCTTCCCGGCCGCCAGCACCCCTCGGCCGCCCCTTCTGCTGCCCTTCCCCTTCTCCAAGCGCCCCCCACCCTTCCTCCACGCACCGGCGCCGCCGCTCCCCCCTCCCCCGTGCCCCCCAGGCCACCCCAGCGCCGCTCACCGCCTTCTCCAGGTGCCCGCGGGCCTGGTCGCCGTTGCGGGTGTGGTGGTAGAGCACGGAGCCGAGCTGGAGGTGCGTGCGGGCCTCCATGCGGGCCGGGGGCTTGCGGGGCAGCACGGCCTGCAGGCAGTGCACGCACAGCCGCACCTTGGGCGGGCTGGACGTGCGGAAATGCTCGGCCAGGCCCAGCAGCGCCAGGTACCACGACTCGCCCGCGGCCGCGCCGCCGCCCGACCCCGAGCCCGGCGCAGGCCCGGCTGCGCCGCCGCCGCGCTCCCGCCGCCTCCCGCCGGCTGCGGCGGCTGCTGAGGCGGCGGCGGCTGCTGAGGGGCCGCCGCGCCCGCCGCCACCGCCGCCATCTTGGGGCCGCCGACAACACCGCCGCGAGGCGCGGGGCACAACGGGAGTTGTAGTTCGAGCGCCTCAGGCGCGGAGGGGAAATGGGAGTTGTAGTCTGCCCTTTCGCACCGATCGGATGCGGGGCGAACAGGGAATGACCGTAGCGGCGGAGCCGCCAGAGCTGAGTGGTTCGGCCGCCCCGCGAGCGGGGCTCTATGCGGCGGGAGGAGCGGAGAGAGCGGCGGGATGGCCCCTTGAGGGACTACATCTCCCAGGGGCGCTTGCAAAGCCGCGGCCCCCGGCGCGGCGCGCCCGGCGCGGGGCATGCTGGGACGGGGGCTCCAAAATGGACAACCACAGGGATGCGCCAGGTACGGCCCGGCCCGGGCGGCTCCGGCTCTGCGCGCTCCTCCCGCGGCTCTGCCCCGCTCCTCCCGCCCCGCTGCCCTCCCCCGGCCCGGCCCCACCGCCCCCCGGGCCGCGGCAGCCGGGGGTGGGCGTGTGCCGGCAGAGTCGGGGGCTGGGGGAACCCCCCCCATTAAATTCCCTCCCTTTTTCCCGCAGCGGAGCCGAGCCGGGAGTTTGGGATGGAGCCCCGCGTTCGTTCCCGGCTCGTTTTCCCCTAGGGAAGCCGTGCTGCTGGTTCGGGATGGCTGCTCTGTTAATTTCCCCCTGTTTTCCCACAGGAAAACCGAGCCTGGGGTCCCGGGTGGTCTCCCCGTTATTTTTCCTTTTCTTTTCCCCCAGGGAAGCAAAGCCGGTAGTTCGGGGAGGCTCCGTTGATGGTTTTTCCTCTCCTTCTCCCACAGGAAACCCAACTGTTCATTCCCTCTCTCTTTTCCCGTGGGAAACTGAGCTGGTGGTTCGTGGAGACCCCACTGTTGGTTTTTCATCCTTTTTCTTTTCTCCTACAGGAAAACTGAGTTCGGGATGATCCCACAGTTTATCCCTTCCCTTTTCCCACAGGGACAGCAAGCCTTGTGTCGGGATGACTCCTGTTAAACCCCATCTTGTTCCTTCAGGAAAGCTGTCCCTTGGTTCGGGATGGTCCCTGTTCATTCCCGCTTCTTCCACAGGGAAGACCAGCCTGGGTTTGGGACGGTCTCTCCCTTAATTCCCTCCTTTTCCCTCAGGAAGCTGAATTCTGGATGGTTCCTACCCTAATCCTGCCTTTTTTCCTCAGGGAATGTGAGCCTTGATTTGGGATGAGCCCTGTTAAATCCCGCCCTTTTCCCTCAGGGAATGCGCCCTCATTCCGGACAATTCCCAGGCTCAATCCCGCCTTTTCCCTCAGGGAACGCGTCCCTGGATTCAGGATGGTCCCCATGCTCACCCAGTCCTGGACTGTGTCCCTGGGTTCGGGCTGATCCCGCTTCATTCCCGCCTTTTCCCTTCAGGGAATGAGCCCCTTCGTTTGGGGTGATCTGTGTTAAATCCCGCTGTGTTCCCCTCCCAGAAAAAAATCCCGCTTTTTCCCCTTCAGGTTGCCCCTGATTCTGGCCAGTTCCCGAGTTAATTCCCACCTCTTCCCTCAGGAAATGGCCCCTCATTCCGGACAATTCCCGGGCTAATTCCCTCCTTTTCCCTCAGCACCCCTGATTCCAGACAATTCCCAAGTTAATTCCCACCCTTTTCCCTCAGGGATAGCACCCCTGATTCCGGACAATTCCCAAGTTAATTCCCACCCTTTTCCCTCAGGGATAGCACCCCTCATTCCGGACAATTCCCGGGCTAATTCCCGCCCTTTTCCCTCAGGGAATGCGCCCCTGATTCCAGACAATTCCCAAGTTAATTCCCACCCTTTTCCCTCAGGGATAGCACCCCTGATTCCGGACAATTCCCAAGTTAATTCCCACCCTTTTCCCTCAGGGATAGCACCCCTCATTCCGGACAATTCCCGGGCTAATTCCCACCCTTTTCCCTCAGGGATAGCACCCCTCATTCCGGACAATTCCCGGGCTAATTCCCGCCCTTTTCCCTCAGGGATAGCACCCCTCATTCCGGACAATTCCCGGGCTAATTCCCGCCCTTTTCCCCCAGGGAAGGCGAGCCGGTGGTTCGGCGTGCCCCAGTCCAAGTCAGCCAAAAGCAGCGTGAACATCCTGCAGCAGGAGGAGCTGATCGCCCAGAAAAAACGGGAAATCGAGGCCCGGCTGGAGCAGCAGGCGCGGCAGAACTCCCTCAGCATCCCGCAGCTCCCGCTGCTCGGAGAGTACGTGGGAATCCCGGCAGCCTGGCTGCCAGAAACCGGGAAGGGAAGGGGAGCTGAGGGAGGAAAATCCCAGCTTTGGTGGAGCAAGGAAGGAAAATCCTAATTTTAGTGGAGCAGAAGGAGGAAAATCACGGTTTTGGTGGATTAGGGAGCAAAAATCCCAGCTTTAGTGGAGCAAGGGGAGGAAAATCCCAGTTTTAATGGAGGAGGAAGGAGATTTGGGGTTCTTTTGGGAATTCGGTGGTAGGTGAGGAAAATGACCAGTTCCAGGAGATTTTCCTGTCCCAAATCCCACATGGGAAGGGCAGGGAAGCTCCCACATTCCAGCTCCTGTTTTCCTGTCCCCGCTCAGCGACGATGGCTCCGAGAGCGAGGCCTCCGTGTCCAACAAGTTTGTGAACGATGGGAGCTTCCTGCAGCAATTCCTGAAGCTCCAGAGGGAAAAATCCAATGCTGGTAGGTCCTTCCTGTCCCAGCCCAAACCCGGGATTCCCAGGAACTCTGTCCCCTTCATTCTCCCCTCAGAAACTGCCCCAAATCCCCCCAAAAATTCTGGGAATGCGCGAGCTCCAAACCTGGGGAAGAAGCAGCTGGGGCAGACCTGGAGCCTCTCCCAACCCAAACCCAGGATTCCCAGGAGGAATTTCCCTTCCTTCTCTCCTCAGAAAATGCCCTAAATCCCCCTTACAATTCCAGGAATACCCCAGCTCAAACCCAGAATTCCCAGGAACTCTTTCTTGTTCATTCTCCCCTCAGGAACTGCCCCAAATCCCCCCAGCAACTCCAGTGATGCCCCAGCTCCAAGCCCCAGAAGGAATCAGCCAAAGCAGGCCCTGAGCCCGATGCTCTCGGCTTGGAGCCTCTCCCACCCCAAACCCAGGACTTCTAGGAACAATTTCCCTCCATTTTCTCCACAGAAAGTGTCCCGAATGCCCCGAACCCTGTGAAGAAGCAGGGGGGGGCAGGCCTGGAGCCTTTCCCACCCCAAACCCAGGACTTCCAGGAATAATTTTGTCTTCATTCTCCCCTCAGAAAGTGCCCCAGATCCCCCCAACAACCCCGGGAATGCCCCAAACCCCGTGAAGAAGCAGCAGGGACAGGCCTGGAGCCTCTCCCATCCCAAACCCGGAACTCCCAAGAATAATTTCCCTCCACTTCCTCCACAGAAAGCGCCCCAAACGCCCCCAGCACGCCCGGGAGCGCCCCGCAGCCCGTGAAGAAGCCGGCGCTGCTGGGCAAGCGGCCGGGGCAGGCCCTGAGCCGCATGCTGCAGGCCCGCAGCCTCTCCCAGCCCAAGGCCAGCCCCGTGCTCAGCCGCCTCAGCGTCTTCCAGGGCCCCGACGAGGACGACGAGGAGGATTACGAGCAGTGGCTGGAGATCAAAGGTCAGTGGCAGCTCCTGCTCCGGGGCTGGAGCTGGGAATGCCCGGCCGGGGATAGCGGTTCAGTGGGGGCAGGATTCCCTCAGACCCCCCAGGGAATGGGGTGGGATTCAGATCCTGGAACTGGGATCAGTTTGGGATAGGATTCCCTCAGGCCCCCCAGGGAATGGGGAGGGATTCAGATCCTGGAACTGGGATCAGTTTGGGATAGGATTCCCTCAGGCCCCCCAGGGAATGGGGTGGGATTCAGATCCTGGAACTGGGATCAGTTTGGGATAGGATTCCCTCAGGCCCCCCAGGGAATGGGGTGGGATTCAGATCCTGGAACTGGCACCAGTTTGGGATAGGATTCCCTCAGGCTGCCCAGTGGAAAGTTGGGTGGGATTCAGATCCTGGAACTGGCACCAGTTTGGGATAGGATTCCCTCAGGCTGCCCAGTGGAAAGTTGGGTGAATTTATCCTGGGATAGGGGTCAGGGGGGGGCAGGATTCCCTCCTAGGATAGGGGATCAGTTTGGGACATGATTCCCTCAAATTCTGATCTGCACCTTTGGAATGTTGTGCCAAGTGCTGGGCTCTCCAGGAAATCCTGGTTCTTGTCCTTAAAATGGGATTTTAGGGGGTTCAACTGTTGGAAAAGGAGAAATTAGTTTGGGAATATGCAGAGTGTGTGTATAAATAAAATAATCAATGTGTCCGGCACGGAATTGTGTCCAGGCACAAAAAATCCAGGCAAAACATCTCACCTGTAGATCCTGAATGCCTGGAAAAACAAGGATATGGCAGGAATTATCCTGAGTTTTATTGGGATAATCCAGGCCAGGAAGCCCCAAGGCAGATTTGCCTCAGAATGGGAATTTCACGGGTGGGTTTTAATGGATAAAAGGAGCTCACACTCGGCTTTGTGGCTTCATTTATCCCTCCCCAAAATCCCATGGAGCCCTTTCTGCTGGGATTTGTACCAGCATAATCCTGGGAATTTGGGCTGTGAGCGTGAAATGTGCTGGGAAAGATGCAGAGAGCTGAGGTGGGTTTGCCTTCATTTCAGGATTTTGGGGCTGATCCCATTGGATCAGTGTGGGTGGCTCTGCTCTGGCTTCCCAAAATTCCCAAAATCGCTGGGTTTATTCCCACTCTGTGATCCCTGTGGGAATTCCTGGGCACAGAGGCCAAACTCCAGGGTTTTGGGAGCTGCTGCTGCAGCCACACAGTTCTGGGAACGTTCTGGGAATGGCTTGGCAGCTGGAATCTGGATTAAACTCCAATTCCTGCTCCTTCCCCGCTGGAATGTGTAGGGAACAAATGCAGTGGGAGCCACCTGTGCCAAGGTAAAGCTGGGATGAGCTGGGTGCCATGGGAACCTCCAAACTGGGATGGGCTGTGGATTCCCAATCCCTGGAATGTCCAAGGAAAGCGGGAGAAGGGAAGGCTCCAGGGAAACCTTGGAGCTGCTTCCAGAGCCTAAAGGGGCTCCAGGAGAGCTGGAGAGGGATTTGGGACAAGGGATGGAGGGACAGGACCCAGGGAATAATGGATTTGGGATTTGGGATGGAATTCCAGGACACGGGGAATGGATTTGGGGCGCGAATTCCAAGACACAGGGAATTGGTTTAAACTGAGAAAGGGGAATTTGGGTGGGATTTTGGGAAGGAATTCCTGGCTGGAATGGGCTGGAATTCCCAGGGAAGCTGTGGCTGCCCCTGGATCCCTGGGAGTGGTCATGGAAAGGTTGGAGAAGGGGAGAAGGGAAGTTCCCAGCATTAACTCCAGCAGAGCTGCAGAGAATTTGGGATAAGGGAATTCCAGGACCCAGGGAATGGCTTCAAACTGAGGGAGGGTGGATTTAGGTGGGATTTTGGGAGGGAATTCCTGGCTGGAATGGGCTGGAATTCCCAGAGAAGCTGTGAAAGCGCCCGAGGAGAGTTTGGGGTGTCAGAAAAAGCGGGATTGGGATGAGCTTTAACCTCCTCCCACCCCAAACTTTAGATTTTCCCCGTAGGAACCCCCGGGGGAGCTGCAGACAATCGGGAGTTGTGCTGTGAACACCTCTCTACAACCGCCTGCCCCGTTTCATCCTCTCTCCTCCCACATTGCCGTGTGCCTGCTCCGTGCCTCTCCGCAGTAATTCCCTGTTTCCCGTTGTGGGGGCGCTTGAACCCCAAGTACTGACAGCCTCCTTAAAGTTTTGCCCCCAGAGGACTCGGAGACGCGGCAGGTGGTGGAAAAGCTGGCCAGGTTCGTGGCTGAGGGCGGCCCCGAGCTCGAGAAGGTCGCCATGGAGGACTACAAGGACAATCCTGCTTTTTCGTGAGTCTGGGGAGGGTTTCATCCCCAGGGAACGCTGCCTCGGGGGGGGGAGAGGGCAGGAGGGGGGAAAATTTGGAGTTTGAAGGGAGAAAATGTTTGGATTTGAGGGGGGAAAAGTTTGGGTTCAGTGTTCTTCCCTGAGAGGGAAAATGTGGAATTTGAGGGGAGAAAATATTTGGATTTGATGTGTGGAAAAGTTTTCTAATCCCAGCACTGATGGGCAGAGGATTCCTCCTTAATTTCTGTTCAATCAACAAAAATTTGGATACAAATCCTTGGATTTAAACTCCAGGATCTAATTCCATGGTTTAGGTGCATTCTGAGTAACTCCTTTGTTTTCCCATGTGGGAGTTGGAGCTGTTTCTATCCCAGAATATCAATATTTGGATAATTATTCCTCTTTTTTTTTTCCATTTTCCCCAGGTTTTTGCATGATAAGAACAGCAGAGAATTCCTGTACTACAGGAAGAAAGTGGCAGAAATAAGGAAAGAAAATCAAAATTCCCAGGCAGCCTCTTCCCAAAAAGGTAATTCCCTCTAAAATCAGGGGAATGGCAACAGCACAGGAAATTTGGGATTGATTTGGGACTGGCATGGAAATTTGGCTGCCTGGAAAGGAAATTCCCAACTGGAAGGAGAATCAAATCCTTGTGCCAAAAATGTGGATTCCCAAAATATTCCTGGGATTTGGAATGGGATTTTCCTTGTAGTTGTTAAAGATATTCCAGAATAATTCTCCAGCATTGAATGTTTGGGAAAAGGGGATTTTTTTCCCCTCAGTTTTTGTTGGATTTGATTGGAGTATTCACCCTTTTCCAGGTGAGATTTGGGATTTTCCGAAGGGAATTTCCCCTGAAACAGCCTCCAGGGGGTGCAGTGAGAGGAGGATTAACTGGGTTTGTAGGGAATTTTGAATTTTCCAGAGGATTTCTTTTTGTTCCTGGGTAATTCAGGGGCAAAGTCTTGGAGTATGGATAATCCTGGGAGTGTAATCCTATGGAAAAATGCCTGGCACAAGGGAAAAATCCAAAATTTTTAATTAGGGATAATTCCAGGTGATTTAATCCTATGGAAAAGTGCCTGATGGAGGGGAAAAATTACAAAACCTTTAACTAGGCTTAATTCCAAGTGGTTTAATCCTGCAGAAAAGTGCCTGGCACATGGAAAAATTGGGATTTGGGAGCCAAAGCTGCCTTACTTCTCATCTCTCCCATCCCAGCTCCCCAAAGTCAGGCCTAAGCTGAAGTTTTTGTGCTTTCAGCTGTTCCTTTGTGCCAGTTCTCCCACTTTAAACCCCACATTTGGCCTAATCGTGCTCGTGGGGCCCTTAGGCTGGCTTAGGCCCAGTCCCTGCTCCCAAACTCAGGTGTAAGCTGAAGTTTTTGTGCTTTAATTTTACCAATTTTCCCACTTTAAACCTGGCTTTTGTGACGTAACTGTGCTCTTGGGATCCTTAGGTTCTGTCCCTGCTCCCAAACCTGGGTTTAAACTGAAGGTTTTGTGCCACTCAGCCATTCCTTTGTACCAATTCTCCCCCTCTAAACCTGGCTTTAGGCCTCATTGGGATCCTTGGGCCCCACCCCTGCTCCCAAACTCAGACTCAAACTGATGTTTTATGCATTTTAACTGTTCCTTTGTACCAATTCTCCCCCTCTAAACCTGGCTTTAGGCCTCATTGGGATCCTTGGGCCCCACCCCTGCTCCCAAACTCAGACTCAAACTGATGTTTTATGAATTTTAACTCTTTGTACCAATTCTCCCCCTTTAAACCCGACTTTAGGCCTCTCTGGGGTCCTTAGGCCGGGTTAGGCTGGGCTGGGGTGAGCTGGGCCCAGGACTAATCCCTGCCTAAAGTTTCCCCCCCAGCCGACCAGGAGACGCGGAACTCGGCGGAGAAGCTGGCGCAGTTCGTGGCTGCAGGGGGGCCCGAGGTGGAGGCCATTGCCCTGCAGAACAACAGGGAGAACCCTGCCTTCAGGTGTGCACAGTTCCTGGCTTGGGGGCTTTTCTTTCCAGGGAATTCCCAGGGAAAGTCCTGGGAATTCTTGGGTTGAAGATTCGGAGCAGAGGTGCTCAAAGTTTGGGGGGCTGAGGTGGGAACTTTGCCCTGCAGAGCAGCAGGGAGATCCCTGCCTTCAGGTACGGCATATTCCTGATTTTTGGGGATTTTTTCCCAGGGAATTCTCATTAAATTCTCTGGGAAGGTCCTGGGAATCCTGAGTTTAGGAGGACATTGGGGTTTTGGAGATGTGGGACTTGAGGGCCCCAAGTTTGGGGGGCTGAGGTGGGAACTCTGCCCTGCAGAACAACAGGGAGATCCCTGCCTTTAGATACGGAAATCCCTGATTTTGGGGGCTTTTTTTCCAGGGAATTCCCAGTGAAAGTCCTGGGGACTTTTAGGCTGGGGATTTGGAGCAGTGAGAATTGAGGTGCTCAGGTCTGGGGTGCAGAGGAATCAGCACATTCCTGATTTTTGGGGCTGTTTTTCCTTTATGGAATTGTGTTCCCTGATCCCAGTGGAGGCTGCACTGGCTGCAGGAATACACGGGATGGTGCTGGAGAGCTGGGAATGCTCTGGGAATTGCAGGAGGGAAAAATCCAGTGCTGCATCCCAGCCCTGGAGAGCTGGGAATGCTCTGGGCATTGCAGGAAGGAAAATTCCAGTGCTGGATCCCAGCCCTGGAGAGCTGGAAATACTCTGGGAATGTTCTGGGCATTGCAGGAAGGAAAGTTCCTGAAGAAACTGTGCTGGATCCCAGCTCTGAGACTGGCTGGAGAGCTGGGAATACTCTGGGAATGCTCTGGGCATTCCAGGCAGGAATTCCATGGCTGAATCCCTGCTCTGAGTAGGGCTGGAGAGCTGGGAATACCCTTGGAATGTTCTGTGCATGCTCTGGGCATTCCCGGCAGGAATTCCACGGCTGGATCCCTGCTCTGAGTGGAGCTGGAGAGCCGGGAATGCCCCGGGAATGCCCCGGGAATGCTGTGAGCTCCGGGCAGGAATGCCCAGCTGCTCCCGTTGTTTGCAGGTTCCTGTACGAGCCCCACAGCAAAGGGCACCGCTACTACCGCCAGAAGCTGGAGGAGTTCCGCAGGGCCCGGGCTGCCCCCGGGGGCTCCCCTTTTCCCGGGAATTCCCCTTTTCCAGGGGGCTCCCCTTTTCCAGGGGGCTCCCCTTTTCCCGGAGAATCCGGCCTCAAAAGGAAGAGCAGTCCCGAGGCTTCTCCCTCCCCTCTGTGCTTCCCCCCTCTCCCCGTTCCCTCCCCTCTTCCTCTCCCCATTCCCATCCCGCCGCCTCTGGCTCTCCCCGTTCCCTCTCCCATCGTTCCCGCTGCTCTTCCCATTCCTTCGGCCTCTCCTGCCCCATCCTCATCCTCCACCTCCCCTCCGGATCAGCCGGCCCCAAATCCAGCCGTGACCCCAAATCCAGCCGTGACCCCAGATCCAGCCGTGACTCCAAATCCCGCTGCAGTCCCAAATCCAGCCACGACCCCAAATGCATCCGTGACCCCGAATCCCGCTCCGGGCAGCACCAAAAAGAAGAGGAAGAGCCGGTGGGGGCCAGAGGAGGAGAAGGTGGAATTGCCCCTCCCGCAGCTGGTGCAGCAGCTGGATTCTCCCTCTCCCCTCTCAGGTGAGTGGGATTGGGTTTTCCTGGGAATTTCATGGCTCCAGAGGTTTTATTTCCTGAGATGGACATGGATCAAGTTTTCCAAGGGATCTCTGCTGTCAATCCCATTTTTTTCCCCGTGGTTTTATTTTCCCTTCGCTCTGCAGGAATTACAAACAGAATTCCTTTTTTTTTTTTTCTTTTCCCACCCTTTTATTCCCTTTCCTTCCCTCTCTGAGGTTTTTCCCATCTCCCAGGTTTTTCCAAAGGTTTTTCCCTGTTTCTTCCCTGCAGTTCAGGACCTGAAGGGTCTGGGATACGAGAAGGGCAAACCCGTGGGGCTGGTGGGAGTCACGGAGCTCTCGGAGGCCCAGAAGAAGCAGCTGAAGGAGCAGCAGGAGGTGAATCCCAAAAATCCTCCCTGAATTCCCTCCCATGGGAATAACAGGTTTTCCACCATGGAATCCCTCCCTGGGAGAAGCATGGGGCTGCAGTTAGCAGGAATAGCAGGGGGTTTGGGATTAAGGACCTTTCCAGCCCTAAAATCCCAAATCCCAGAGGAGCTTTCCTGGGACAAATCCCATTTTTCCCAGGCTCAATCCCATTTTTCCATGATTCCCAGAGGCAGCAGATCCACTACTTGATCATGAAGCACAGGCACAGTTCTCCTGCCTTTTGGGGCTGAGATTTGGGATTCTTTAGGCTTTGGAGCCATTTTTTCTGGAACGGGCTGTACTCCACTGGCATTCCCAGGCTGAATCCCATTTTTCCCAGGACAACTCCCATTTTCTCAGCTGAGTTCTGTTTTTCCCAGGACAAATCCCATTTTTCCAGCCTGAATCCCGTTTTGCCCAGGACAAATCCTGTTTTTCCAGCCTGAATCCCGTTCTCCCCAGGACAAACCCCCTTTCCCCCAGGGCAAATGCCATTTTCTCAGCTGAATCCCGTTCTCCCCAGGACAACCCCCCTTTCCCCCAGGACAAATGCCATTTTCTCAGCTGAATCCCGTTCTCCCCAGGACAAACCCCCTTTCCCCCAGGACACGTCCCGTGTTCCCGGGCACATGCCGTGTTGCCGTCGTTGCAGATGCAGCAGATGTACGACATGATCATGAAGCACAAGCAGGCGATGCAGGAGATGCAGCTGCTGTGGGAGCGGGCGCTGCAGCAGCACCAGCACGGCTACGACAGCGACGAGGAGGTGGACAGCGAGCTGGGCACCTGGGAGCACCGCCTGCGCCGCATGGAGATGGACAAGACCCGGGGTGGGTGGGACTGGCAGTTCCAGATGGGAATTCCATCCCTAGAGGGATGTGGAAAAGACCAGAGGTGGGTGGGACTGGGAGTTCCAGAGGGTTCCGGGGAGGAATTGCATCCCTGTCCTGCTGGATTGAGAGCTGCAGGGACTCCTCATGGGCTGGGAGGGACAATTCCTCCTGGGATGCTCCACAAATCCCAAGGGGTGCTCCGTGGTTTTTCGGAGATCTTGCTGTGCATTCCTGAGAGGTTTTGTGCTCCAGAATCCTCCTGGAATCCAAATGCCCCTGAAATCCCGAGGGATTCTCCATGAGCATTGTTCTCTCCATGGTTTTTCCAGAGTGGGGTGAAACCTGGGAGGTTTCGTGCTCCAGAATTCCCCTGAAATCCCTGGGATGCTGCACAAATCCCAAGGGATTCTCCATGATGTCTCAGCCTGGGGATCTGGTGCACGCCTGGGATGCTCCAGGAATCCCAGGGGATTTTCCATGAGCTGGGTGTTGTCCTGCTTTTCCAGAGTGGGCGGAGCAGCTGACCCAGATGGGCCGAGGGAAACATTTCATCGGGGATTTCCTCCCCCCGGACGAGCTGGAAAAGTTCATGGAGACCTTCAAGGCACTCAAGGTGAGGGATTCTGGGAATGTTCCAGACTCATCCCACAGCTGGGAATTCCTCTGTCTCTCCTTGCTCCAGCCATTCCTGCAGGGAAAAACAGGGATCAGCTTCCCGGTGTTAGCACGGAAATGGGGCCATATTTGGGAAAATTCCCAAAGGATCTGTGGCTGCTCCATCCCTGGAAGTGTCCAAGGAGTCTTGGGAGCATCCTGGGATCATGGGAAGTGTCCCTGCCCACGGGACCAGATGGGCTTTAAGGTCCCTTTCCACTCTGGAATTCCACAATTTGGGATTTTTCTGGAATTCCAGACAAACCTCCCACTCGGTTCCTCTTTGGGATCAGTGGGTACCAAGCAGTGAAAAAATGGGAATTTTGGGAATGGTGCAACTCCAGCACCTTCCAGTCCTTCCCAAACCCTGGAATTCCTGGAAGCTGCCTCATCCCTGTTTCCCAGACATTCCCTGGGATTCAGCCTTAGGAATGAACCGGATCTGAGGCTGGATCCAGGGGACAGCCTGGAATTCCGGAGCTGTTGTTAGAATCCCAGGAAATCCTGGCAGTTCTTTCCCTAAATCTCAGTTTGGAGAGGGATAAAACTGCTTTTCCTGTGATCCATGGAATAAAAAATCCCCTTTTCCCTCCTTTTTCCTGCTTTTGCCCACTGCAGGAGGGCCGGGAGCCGGATTACTCCGAGTACAAGGAATTCAAGCTGACGGTGGAAAACATCGGATACCAAATGCTGATGAAAATGGGATGGAAGGAAGGAGAGGGATTGGGATCCGATGGGCAGGGAATTAAAAACCCTGTCAGCAAGTGAGTGTTCCTGTGGATTGTTCCTTCATTTTTTCTGGGAATTCCTGCTGGAATCGCAGCCCAGCATGGAAAACTCAGCCCTGGGAAAAAAATCCTGATTTTTTGGGAGGATTTTCTCCTGGGTTTGTGGCTGTAGCTGGAATTGGCCAAGTCCCTCAAATCCTGAATTTCCGACCCACATTTCCATTGGGAAGTGCAGCTCCAAGCATTCCTCTCTGCACCTCCCCTCTCCCAGGATTAAATCCTTAAAATCAGGAATTCCTGGGAATATTTGCTCTCCTTGGAGTCATAAAATCATGGAAATTATTAAAAAAAAAACGATGGGAAGCACATCCAGGGAGGATATTCCAGCCAGAATCAAAGCTTTGTGTGATCCTATGGGTTTTGAGGTCATTCCATGCCCAGAAATGTTGGGATTTGATCCCACTTTGGGTATTCCAAAGGTTTTCTTTGGGTGGATCAGCTTCCATTCAAATTCCCAGGGATCTGGAAATTAAACCAATCTCTACTTCCATCCAAACCCCGGGAATTTGGGAAATGAGATTAAACCAGTCCCTGCTTCCATCCAAACCCCGGGAGTTTGGGAAATGGAATGAAACCAGTCCCTGCCTGCATCCAAACCCCGGGAATTTGGGAAATGAGATTAAACCAGTCCCTGCTTCCATCCAAACCCCGGGAGTTTGGGAAATGAGGTGAAGCCAGTCCCTGCCTCCATCCAGCGGCGCTCCCCGGGGATTTGGGAAGGAGCTGGGGAGGGTCGGGCTGGCAGGGCCCGGTTCCCGTGGGAATCCCGGGCAGGGCCTGTCCGAGCCGCGCCGTTCCCGGCTGTCCGGCAGAGGCACCACGACCATGGACGGGGCGGGATTCGGGATCGAGCGCCCGGCGGAGCTGACCAAGGAGGACGACGAGTACGAGGCCTTCCGCAAGCGCATGATGCTGGCCTACCGCTTCCGGCCCAACCCGCTGGTACGGGATAACGGGAATGGGATAACGGGAACGGGATAACGGGGTCAGTGCTGGCCTACCGCTTCCGGCCCAACCCGCTGGTACGGGAACGGGATAACGGGATAACGGGAACGGGATAACGGGATAACGGGGTCAGTGCTGGCCTACCGCTTCCGGCCCAACCCGCTGGTACGGGATTGAATTGGGATCATTGGGATGGGATGAGTGGAGCTGGGAATGGGAATGGGATGGAGCCAGTGATGAGGGAGAGTCCCTGGAATGGGACAAGGATGGATCCCCTGGAATGGGGCAGGGATGGATCCCCTGGAATGGGAATGTCCCAAACCCGGGCAGGCACAGGGACAAATCCCTGGAATCTCGGCTGTAGCTCTGGGAGTGTTGGCAGCTGGGAGATTCCTCTTGGATGGAATTCCTCTCCTCATCCTGAACCAAATCATCCTCCCGGAATTCCCTGGATGCAGAATTCTCCTTCCCTTTTTTTTTCATTCAAATCCCAGTTTCATTCCCAGCTTTATCCCAGTTAAGCCCCTGCCAGGGGAGGCTTCTCCATGAATCCCATGATTTCTTTGGAATTACATTTTCCAGGGAGCAAAACCAAGCTTGGATTTTCCCTTTTCCCTTTCCAGCCAAAAGCTGCCTTTAATTTGGGGGGAAAAAACCTGGGAAATGTCACAATCCAGTGGCTTTCCCAGAGAATCCAGATGCTGATTTTTGGGATAAAATCCCCAATCCTGATGATTTTTCCTTTTTTTTTTTTTTTCTCCTTACAGAACAACCCACGGCGACCTTACTACTGAGGAGGGCTTTGCCCATCAAATTTCCTGGGAATTCTTATCCCAAGCTTCATTATCCATCTCTTTTCTCCCGATTTTTCTGGCTTTTTTTGGAATCACAGCTCCTCCTTCCCCCATGGAAAAGCTTTCCCAGCTTTTTCTGGGGACACGGGGAGGGTTTGGAGCAGCCCCAAAAATCCCCCGGGGACTCCAATTCCAAGGAGTTTGGGATTTTTGGGAATGGCAGATCTTGTGCTGCTCCAGGAGGGCGGGATTTTATTCCTTGATTTTATTCCTTGATTTTATCTTGGAATCCCAAATCCAAGAGATTTTGGGGAATTTGGGGAACCAGTGCCTCCAGTTTTGCCTCTGGATGGGTGGATCTGGCCTGGATCCGTTGGGAATTCCAGGATTTGATGGATCCAGGGGGGATTTATTCCCTTCCCAGGGATTTTGCCAACACCTCCTGTGCTTTGGGATGATGAAGACCCAAAATTCCAAAGCCACACTTCAGAAAAATCCAACAAAATTCCATCACCACGTTTTGGAAAAATCCAGTTGGATTAAAAAAAAAAAACTCTGGAAATACAAATTTTATTCATGGAGTCTGTAAATAAAATCAAACTTGTTTGTTCCTTAGGTTTAATCTGTGGTGGTTTTTGGGAAGAGGGTGGGAGGCTGCCCTGGAGCTGGGTTTTCCAAGGATTTTTAGGGAAAAAAGCTGGATTTGGTTCCTTTTTTGGGATACTTGATGTGATTCTTTGCTATTTTTTTAAATTATGGAGTCAAGGGTTTGGCTTTTAATTCCAGGGCGGGAAGAGGAGGGTGGTATCCAGGGAGAATCCAAAATCTGGGGGCCTGGAGCCCCAGGATCCCAGTCTGCCCCCCATGACCCCCTGTCCTTCCTCCCAGGCCCTCTCCCTCACTGGATCCCAGTCCTGATCCCAGTCCTTCCCTGGATCTCAGATCCCAGCCCTGGACGCCAGTCCCTTCCCAGATCCCAGTCCTTCTCTGGATCCCATTCCAAATCCCAGTCCCAGATCCTGGTCCCTCCCTGGCTCCCAGTCCCAGGTCCCATTCCTGATCCCAGTCCTGATCCCAGTCCTCCCCCTGCCCTGTCCTTCCTTATTCCCAGGACTCCATTCCTCCCTTCCCGGCTGCCCCGGCCCCCCACCCGTCCCTGCCCCCGTCCCCCCGGTCCCCGCCGTGTCCCCTCCCTGTCCCGGCCCTGTCCCGGTGCCCCGTGTCCCGGCTCTGTGGCTTTAAGGGCGCTGCCCGGGGCCGAAGTCCGCGGGCCCGGTGCTGGCGGCGGGGCCGGGATGCAGCTCCCGGCGGGCCCGGCCGCCCTGGCCGCCCCCCTGCTCGCCCTCCCGCTGGCCTTCGGTGCCAGCGCTGTCACCGCCCTGGAGTGAGTGGGGACCGGGAGGGACCCCGGGAATGGGGAACGGGAGTGGGGACCGGGAGAGACCCCTCGAGAATGGGGAGTGGAGAACGGAAAACAGGGAATGGGGAATGAGGAGTGGGGAACAGGGAACCGGCACGGGGAAGGGGGTATGGAAAAAGGGGAACGGGGACGGGGTCCTGCCCGGGGGAGGGGGCTTGGGTCCATCCTGGCTCTGGGAATCCAGTCCGGGACAGGGGCTGGGTCCGTCCTGGATCTGGGAATCCAGTCCGGGACAGGCAGCTCGCTCCAGGTGTTCCCAGGGAAGGCGGCTGCAGGTGGGGTTTTCCCGCTGGATTTGAATCCCCTCGGGAACTTCAGACCCCACAGAGCCTCTCCCGGAGAGCCCAAATCCCGGGAATTCGGGTGATCCCGGCCTGGAGCCCCCTCCCTGCCCCTCCGGGAGTGTCCCCGCTGTCGCTGACGTGTCCCCGCCGCTGTCCCCGCTGTCCCCGGCGCCGCTTTCGCTTTGCCCGCCCGCAATTCCCGATCCGAGGCTGCGGGAGCGGCTCCGGGCCAGCCCAGCGCCGCCTGCTCTCCTTGCTCCGGGCTCACAAATCGGGCTCTGGGTCTCGTCTGGGGCTTTCCACAGAGCCTGGAGCTGGATAGGGGGACCCCAGGGGGGCTCCGGCCCCATTCCCATTCCCAGTCCCTGCTGGGATCACACCCGCCCTGCTTTTGGGATTTTACCCATTCCCAGTCCTTGCTGGGATGTCCAGGCACCCTTCCTTTGGGATTTTTCCATTCCCAATCCCTGCTGGGATCCCATCTTCCCATCATCCTGCCTTTTGGGATTCACCCCTGGGATTTGCGCCTTTTGGGATTTATCCCCGGGTTATTCCCAGATCCAGATTTCCCCGCTCAGGACCGGCCCCCCGTTCTGCGGGGTCTGATCCCAATCCTAAACTCAGCGGGATCGGGAGCGTGTGACGGGGGTGGGAATGGGGATGGGGATGGGAATGGGGCCGTGCCGGTGCTGCAGCGGCCCCGATCCCTCTGCAGCCCCCCGGCGCTGGCCCTGGCCCTGGTCCTGCTGCTCCTCGGCCTCGTCTCCCTCCTCATCCTCACCGGCGGCATCGGCCTCATCCAGGACCCCCTGTTCTGCTGTGAGACCCCGGGCTGGGGTTGGGGCTGGGGTCTGGGGTCTGGGGTCTGGGAAGATCGGGGGTTGTGGGACCCACATGGAGCAGGGAATTGGGATTTGGGATCTGGGATTTGGGATTTGGGAGGAGCTGTGGGACCCACATGGAGCAGGGATTTGGGATTTGGAATCTGGGATTTGGGATTCCAGGGGGAGCTGAGAACCCACAGGGAAGCAGGGATTTGAGATTTTGGGGACGTGCACGGAGCAGGTACGTGGGATTTGGGATTTTGGGGACCCCGCACGGAGCCCCCTGCTCCCCGCAGTGCTCGTGGTGTTCTCCTTCGTGTCGGCCGTGGATCTGCTGATCGCGCTGGAGGAGGACGGGATCGTCTCGGGCTTCATGGAGCTCTACGTGCGGGAGGTGCCAGCCCCGCCCCCGCACCCCCGGACCCCCGTGCGACCCTCCCGGCGTCCCCACCGCCGGTGTGACCCGGTGTCACCGCCCCCCGCTGTAACCCCCACTGTGTCCCCCATTGTCGCCACCCCCGGTGTGACCCGTGTCCCCTCCCGGTGTCCCCCTCCGTGTCCCCTCCCGGTGTCCCCTCGCGGTGTCCCCGTGTCCCCTCCCGGTGTCCCCCTCCGTGTCCCGGTGTTCCCTCCCGGTGTCCCCTCGCGGTGTGACCGTGTCCCCGTCCCCGCAGGGCGATCCCCACCTGCGCACGGCTCACGGGCTCCTCACCTGCTACTGGGACGGCACGGTGCACTACGGGCTGTGCCTGGCCATGGCCGGGGCCGCGGGGCGCAGGTGCCGGGGGACCCCACAGCCCTGGGGAGGGGGCGGGAGAATCGGGAATTTCCTGGGGAGGGGGCGCGGGGGGTCGGGGTAGGGAGAATTCCCGAGTTTTGAGGAGGGGGGCTCACGGTGATCCCGGAGGGAACGAGAAAATCCCAAATTTTGTGAGGACGGGGCTGGATGATCCCGGGAGGGCTCGGGGAGCTCATGGGGGGTGGGAAAATCCCGAATTTCCTGAGGAGGGGGCTCGGGGGTGATCCCGGGAAAAGGAGGGGGTGAAAAATCCCGAATAATTTTGAGGAGGGGTCTCCCGCTGTACCCGCAGGAAGAGCTACCGGGGGCTGGGTCTCTTCTGGCTGGGCTCGCTGCTGATGAGCGCCGTGGTTTTCCTGCTGGGCAACCTGATCGGTACGGCCGTGGGGAGGGGGCTGGGGCCGACCCCCGGCAGGAGGAGGAGGAGCGGGAGGAAGGCCCCGCGCCCACCCCGCGCTCTCTCCCGCAGGGAAATACAGCCCCGAGCTGAGCCCGTCCTTCCTCCTCAACCTGCCCTACCTCCTCCTCCTCACCTGGGCCGGCCTCCGGCTCTTCCAGCAGCCCCGGGCGCTGCCGAGCCTCAGCCCCGAGCAGGTGAGGCCGGAGCGGGGGGGTTTGGGGGCGGCTGCTGCGCCCCCAGGGCTGGGTCAGAGGGTGCGGACCCCAAAAACCCCGAATTTCCTCTGGCAGATTGCAGAGGAGCAGCGCAAACCCCTCTACCAGCGGCCCTGGGACCTGCTCCTCATCCTCATCCTCATCCTCACTGCAGCCTTCACCTTCTTCAGGGGGATGGTCAGCGCTGGGGGGGACTGGGGGGCTCCGGGGGGTCCTGGAGGGGGCCAGGATGGTCCTGGGAGGGCTTGGGGTGATCCTGGAGGGACTCGGGGGGCTCTTGGAGGGGCTTGGGGGGGGGTCCTGGAAGGGCTTGGGGTGACCCTGGAAGGGCTCAGGGGACCCTTGGAGGGGCTTGGAGTGGTCCTGGAGGGTCTCAAGGGTCCCTGGGAGGGCTTTGGGTGTCCTGGAGGATCTCGGGGGTCCCGGGGAGGATCTCGGGGGTCCCAGGGAGGGTGCCCTGCCCTCGCCCCCCTGTGCCCCCAGGTGGTCCTGGACTGCCCGGCCGACTCCTGCTTTGACTACACCTACCTGCACGAGCCCTACCTGCGCGACCCCGTGGGCTACCCCAAAGTGCAGGTGAGGGGAGGGGCCGGGCCCCCTCCAGGTGCCCCCAGCGCCACCAGGGGTGACCGCCCGGGTGTCCCGCAGATGCTGATCTACCTGTTCTACCTGCTGCCCTTCCTCTTCCTCGCCATCTACGGGCTGGCCCTGCCCGGCTGCTCCTGGCTGCCCGACTGGAGCCTGCTGTTCGCCGGCGCTGTGGCGCAGGTGGGCGGCCCCGAAATCCGGGATTTGGGGGAAAAAATCCCTGATGGGGCTGCCTCAAAATCCCGGGATTTGGGGGAAAAAAAGAACCCAAACGGGGTGGTACAAAAATCCTGGGATTTGGGGGGAAAAGTCCCAAACAGGGAAGCCCCAAAATCCTGGGATTCGGGAGGAAAAAATCCCAAACAGGGCGGCCCCAAAATCACAGGATTTGGGGGGAACATCCCAAACCACGTGGCCCTGAAGTCTTGGGACTTGGGGGAAATCCCAAGCGGGAATTGGTAAAGGGTTGGGGCTTGGTTTTGGGCGGCAGATCCTGGGTTTGGGGGGCAGATCCTGGGTTTGGGGGGCAGATCCCGGGTTTTGGGGGGCAGAGCCACAGCCGCAGCTGCAAGTGGAGCAGCTTGGCTGGCTGATAATTGCCTCGGCCTCGGTGGATTTGGACAGAACCCGGGATTAGTGGGACAGAAATAGGATGGAGAGAGACGCAGGGCTATAGATAGGATGGGCTGGAGCCAAAAACCCCTCCGGGGTTGGGGTTTTTCACCTTTTAGGACCAGGGCTTTGCACCTCTGAGGTCCAAGGGTCTGCACCCTTTGGGGCCGGGATTTTTGCACATTTCAGGGCCGGAATTCTGCACCTTTTAGGGACTCTTTGGGCCTGGGGGCTGCACCTTTTAGCGCCGGGGCTTTGCACCCTTTGGGGCGGGGGGCTCGCACCTCTTGGGGCCGCTCCCCCGTCACGCCCCCGGCCCACTCCGCTGTCCGCAGGCTCAGTTCGCTCACCTGGGCTCCTCGCTGCACTCCCGCACGCCGTTCCCGTACCAGACCCCCGACGAGGTGCTCTGGACGTTCCTCCTCTCCAACGTCCTGTACGCGCTGGGCCCGCAGCTGCTGGCGCTGCGCTGCCTGCGCTGCCCGGCCTTCTTCCTGCCCCCGGCCCGCCCGGGCCTAGCCCGCGCCAAAAAGTGCCAGTGACGGCTCCTGCCGCTCCCCCGGGGCTGCTGTCACCTCCCTGGGGCTGCTGTCCCCTCCCCGGGGCTGCTGTCCCCTCCCCAGGGCTGCTGTCCCCACGTCCGGTGCCTCTCGCCCCGCTCCGAGCGCTGGGAGCAGAGATGTCCTCTGCGGTGTCCCCAGCGGTGTCCCCAGGGGTGTCCCCAGAGGTGTCCCCAGGGGTGTCCCCAGGGATGCTCCGGTCCCCAAAAGCTCTGAGGGTGTCCCCCAAAAGCCCGGCGGGGACCCGCGGCAGTCACGGCCCTGCCCGCGCACGGCTGCGGGGCCGCAGAAGCCGCGGCCCCTCCCGGGGGTCCCGGTCCCTCCCGGGGGTCCCGGTCCCTCCCGGGGGTTCCGGTCCCGTCCCGGTGCCCCGCCTCGGGCTGGGAGGGCTCGGGGGTGGCGGGAGCGCCAGGGGGACGTCGGTGACAAAATAAAGGAGCCGAGGCTCGCTGCGAGCCCACCGTGTGCCCGCCGTGTGCCCGTTGTGCCCAGCGCGGCCCCCGTGCCAGGCGGGGACCCCCGGGCCCTTCGGGGCAGGGGCTGGGCCGGGGGTCCCTGCGGGTGGGTGGGGTGAGATTTCGGGGGGGGTTTTGGGGGGGGGGGGCACACGGCGGGAGGTGGTGCCGGGGTTTTTGGGGTGGCACCCGCCGGGGGGGTGCCCGGGCTGGGGCTGGGTGGGCGCAGCAGCCCTTGCAGTGCCCGCGGCGGGGATTTACCGGATCCGCTTCCCCGTGCCCCGCCGTTCCCGCAAGCAGCCCGGCCCGGGGGTCGCGGCGGTGCCGGGGGCTCGGGGGCGCACCGGGTGACCTTGGCGAGCGGCCGGTCCTGCGCAGCGCCGGCACCGGGGCAGGGCCGGGCCGAGCTCCCGGTGTCGCCCCCTGCGCGGAGCCGCAGCGGCAGCACCGGCGGAGGCACCGGAGCAGCCACCGGGGCAGGTACCGGGGCAGGCACCGGAGCAAGTACCGGCGGCACCGGCGGGCCCCCCGCGGGCCGGCACCGGGCTCACGGTGAGTGCGGGGCTGCGGCCGCCGCTCCCTCGCTGCGGGGCACCGGGACGGGACCCCCGGGGGCGGGAGGGACGCGGCGGGCGGGGGTCGCTCGCTGCGGGGCGGCGGCAGGAGCGGGGCTCCCCCCGCGCTGCGCTGTCCCCGCCCGGGCACCGGAGTCCCGCAGCCCCGGGGCTGCCGCCGCAGTGTCCCGCACTGCAACACCGCACCGGGCCCCGAGCGCCGCCACCGCCGCAGCCGCTGCCCCGACCGGCACCGGGACCCGCGGGGCTGCCCCGCTCCTTGTGCCTCCCGGGCGGACCCCGAGCCCCGGGCACGGCGCCGGGACCACCGGGGGGGCTGTGCCTCCCCCTGCCCCCCGAGGGGCGCCGCGACCCCCGGGGGGCTGCCGTGCCCAGCCAGGGGGGCAGACCCAGGGCCGGGCTGGCATTTGGGGCACCCCCGGAGCGCGGGGCTCAGCCTCGCAGCCCCCCGAGGAGGAGGGGGCGCCTCCCGCGGCCCCTCCGCGCTGTCCTTGGGGAGGGGGCGCGGCCGGGGGGTCTCGGGGGGCGCCGCTGCCCGCTCCGTGCCCATCGGTTCCCTTTCCAGGGGGGCCATAAATAACCCGGGAGATCCGACCCGCTGCGGCTGCCGCGGGGTTTTCATCCCGCCTGGAAGCCCCGGGGCGCGCCGAGCTCAGCGCCGGGGCCGGGGGTCCCTGCGAGGCCGGGGGTCCCTGAGGGGCTGGGGGGGTCCCTGCGAGGCCGGGGGTCCCTGCGGGGCTGGGGGGGCTCCCGGGGGGGGGCAACGACCGACCCAGCCCCTCCGACCCCCACTTGGGCACGGGGGGGATGGCAGCGGGGCGGGCACCCCTCGGGCTGGGCACTCCTGGGGGGCAGAGCGGGGGATCCCCTCGGGCGCGGGGGGTCTGGGGGTGCTCAGGGCGCTGCTGTCGCCCCCCAGATGCGCCCCCAAAGCCCCTGGGCCGCCGGCCCCGCTGCGCTGCTGCTCCTCGCAGCCTTGGCGGCCCCCGAGGCGCTGCCCGGCGCCCGCGGCAGGAAGAAGGTGGTTCATGTCATGGGTGAGTGGGGCCGGGGGCTGGGGGGGCTTTGGGAGGGGTCTGGGGTCGGGGGAAGCGCCTGCAGCCTTTGGGGTGTTGGGTTTAGTGCCACCAAGGCAGGGCCAGGGCTCTGGGGTCCCCCGTGTCCCCCCAGCCCTGCGGGAAGCGTCCTGGGGTTATCCCAGGGGTTATCCCGAGCGCTCCTTAGGGCTGGCAGAAAACGGGAATTCCCCCAAAAGTGTGACCCCACAGCCCGTCCTGCTCTGCCCCTAAGAGCCGGGAATTCCTCCCATGCCCACGTCCTGCCTTGTCCCTAAAAGCGGGGAATTCCCCCATAAGTACGAACCCACAACCCCATCCTTCCTTGTCCCTAAAAGCCGGGAATTCCCCCCAAAGTGCGTCCCCACAGCCCATCCTCCTTCACCCAAAGGGTGAGCTCAACCCAAAAGACGCTCCCACATCCTGTTCTACTTTTCCCCCAAAAGAGAGAAGTTCCCCCCAAAGCGTGACCCCGCATCCCCATCCTTCCTTGCCCCTAAAAGAGCGCAACTCCCCCCAAAAACCTCTCCCACCCTCTCCGCCTGCTGGGCCGGTCCCCGAGCCGGCGTGGCGCGGTGACAGCCCGTGCCTGACCCGTGTCCCCGCAGAGGGTGACAGCGGCGCCGTGGTGGTGCAGACGGCTCCGGGCAAGGTGGTGACCCACCGCGGCGGCACCATCATCCTGCCCTGCCGCTACCACTACGACATCTCCGCGCACGACCCGGCCGAGATCCGCCTCAAGTGGACCAAAGTGACGGAGCCCATGGATTTCGTGGACGTGTTCGTGGCCCTGGGCAAAGCCCGGAGGGCGTTCGGGCCCTACCGGGGCCGCACGGCGCTGCAGGAGGACGGGGCGGGCGACGCGTCCCTCATCATCCGCAACGTGACCCTGCAGGACTACGGGCGCTACGAGTGCGAGGTGACCAACGAGCTCGAGGACGACACCGGCGTGGTCAAGCTGGACCTGGAAGGTGGCGGGGGAGGTTCCCGGGGTGCCACGGCCGGCATTCGCGGGGGCTGCGGGTTGTGGGGCTGTCGTGGGGTTTGTTGGTGGAGGGGGTTTGCGGTGCTGGCTCCTACAGGTTGAGGGGTGAGGGCTCGGAAAGCAGCGGGGACGGGGGGATGGCAGAGGGAAAATGATTCTTTAGGGCTCAGGAGGTTGTAAATGCTTTTTTAAGGGATCAGAGGCGCAGTTTGGGGTGGCGGGGGCTCGGAAAGCAGCGGGGCCAGGGGGATGGCAGAGGGAAAACGATTCTTTAGGGGCTCAGGAGATGGCAGAGAGGGTAAACGCCTTTTTAGGGGTTCACAGGGCGCAGTTTGGGGGTGCCACGGGCTCGGAGAGCACCGGGGACGGGGTGGCAGTGCCGGGATGTTGGGAAAGGGGGAAACGTCTTTTTAGGGGTTTGGGGATGCAGTTTGGGGGTGGGAAAGGGGGAAACGCTTTTTTTGGGAGCTCGGAGGGTGCAGTTTGGGGGTGCCGGGGCTCGACTGGACCCTGCGCGGGCACCACCGATGCTCCCAAACCCCAGAGCAGAATCTCCCGGACTCTGGGGTTCCTGGAACTCCCAAAACCCGGAATGCAGAACTCCCAAACTCCCGGGACGATGAGCGGGATTTCCCAGGCGATTCTCCCAAGCAGAATCCCCATTTTCCCAAACCCCAGAGCAGAATCTCCTGCAGTTTGGGGCTCCCTGCAGTCCCCAAACCCGGGGCTCCCAACCCCCCTCGCAGAGGGACCATGAGTAGGATTTTCCAGGCGATTCTCCCGCATTTTCCCAAACCCCAGAGCAGAATCTCCTGGAGCCAGGGTTTCCCAGAACCCCCAAACCCCCTTGCAGAGGGACCATGGGCAGAATTCCCCAGGCGATTCTCCCAACCAGAACCCCCCTCCTCACCCTCAAAACCCCGCCGCGACCCCAAACCCCACTCCCTCCTTCCCAGGGGTGATTTTCCCGTACCACCCCCGCCTGGGGCGCTACACGCTCAACTTCCACGAGGCGCAGCAGGCGTGCCTGCAGCAGGACGGGATCCTGGCCTCGCACGACCAGCTGCACCAGGCCTGGCTGGAGGGGCTGGACTGGTGCAACGCGGGCTGGCTGCAGGACGGCTCCGTGCAGTACCCGATCTCCCGGCCCCGCGAGCAGTGCGGCCGCAAGGACACGCCCGTGGGCGTCCGCAACTACGGCTACCGCCACAAGGAGAGCGAGCACTACGACGCCTTCTGCTTCACCTCCAACCTCAACGGTGAGGGGAAACTGAGGCACGGAGCGTCCCCGTGCTCCTCGGGGGGGTGGGGAGGGGAGTGAGGCGCTGGTGGGGTTGCAACACTGAGTTGAAGCAAAAACAAAACCAAAAATTTAAGCCTAACTCTCTTTTCTTTTTTTTAGCCAAAATCTCCTCTTTATTGTCCAAAACCTCTTCTTTGAAACCCAAACCCTCTTTTTTTTAACCCAAAGCCTCTTCTTTCTTAGCCAAAACCGCGTTTTTAAACGCAAACTCTCGTTTTTAGCCAAAACCTATTTCTTTTCAATATTTTTTTTAAATATAAAAACTTTCTTAGACAAACCCTCTTTGTTTTTTTAACCCGAGACGTCATGGTTTTAGCCAAAATCTCTTCTTTTTCATCCAATTTTTTAACCTCTTTTGTTTAAGGAAATGTTTTGAACGCTCCACAGGACTTCCATCACCTCCAGCCCCCAAAACCCTTTGGGGATTCCACAGCGCTGGCACCCCATGACTTCTCCAACCTCCCCAAAACCTTCTGGGGGCTCCCCAGGGCTTCCATCCAACCCCAAAAACGCCTCGTGCGGTGCTCCAGAGCGGGGGGGTTTGGGGCTCACCCCCCCCCGCAGCACCGAGGGCGCTCCCTCCCCTTTATTCCCCTTTTTCCAGGCAAAGTCTACTTCCTGAAAACCTTCCGCAAGCTCAGCTACCCCGAGGCCGTGCAGGCGTGCAAGAACAACGGCGCGGCCGTGGCCAAGGTGGGGCAGCTGTACGCGGCCTGGAAGCTGCAGCTGCTGGACCGCTGCGAGGCGGGCTGGCTGGAGGACGGCAGCATCCGCTACCCCATCGTCAACCCCCGCGCCCGCTGCGGCGGCCGCGAGCCCGGCGTGCGCAACCTCGGCTTCCCCGACAAGAAGTACAAGCTCTTCGGCGTCTACTGCTTCAAAAAGGCCGGGGAAGCCCCTCCCGCGGCGGCCGCGGGGGTCCCCAAACGCGTGTGAGGCTTGGGGTGCTCCGGCAGCACGCCCGGGTTTGGTTCGGGGTCTCCCCCCCAGCACCCCCCGAGCCCCGCCGGTGCGGGGAGCTGCGGGCAGCCCCCGCCGAGGGACGGGGAGGGGGCAGCGGCGCGGGCTGGCGGCCCTCGGTGGCGCTCGGGGACACCGGGGCGGCGGGAGGGGACGGGTTTGGTGAGCCCCGCCGGGAGCCCGCGCCCCCCGCCCGGGGCTGGCCCCCCGCTCCCCGCAGCTCTCGCTTCTCCCCGCGCCTGTTGCATGCGCTAAAGCGCCGCGGAGCCCCCGCCCTCCTCATCCTCACCCCGAAACCCCCCCGTGGCGCTGGGCAAGGACTGCGGGCACCGGGTTCGGCTCCGTGTCTCGGCAGCCGGGGGGTCCCGCAGCCCCCGGGGCAGCTCCCGCTTGGCTTGGCCGGAGCGGGGAGGGCCGGGGGGCAGCGGGCGCGGTGCCCCCCCGGCCGGGCACCGGCCGCAGGCTTTGGCAGCCCTGGACGTAGATGAAATAAAAGCTTCGGCCGCTTTGGAGAGCTGAGCGCGGCTCTGCTGTGTCCTTGGGGCAGCCCGGGGGGCCCGGGGCCGTTCCCGGCTCGCCCGGGGCACCGCGGCCCTGGCATCGATCGGGGCTCGGGGCCCTGGCATCGATCGGGGCTCGGGGCCGTTCCCGGCTCGCCCGGGACATCGCGGCCCTGGGTTCCATCGGGGCTGGGTCCAGCGGAGCCACCCCGCGGTGTCCCAGGGCTGGCAGCGAGCCGGGGGCACCGCGGGGGTGGCACGGCCCGGACGGGACCCCCGATGGGATTCGGGACGCGCTCCAGCTGAGCACAGCCCCTAAATCACCTTTAATGAGGAAATAAATGTCTGTCACAGCCCTGGGAGGGGACAGCGGGGCCGTGGGTGGCAGAGGAACCTCAGGGCCGGGTGGTGGAGGATGTTTTAGGCAGGAATCACCCCAAAAAATCCATTGGCGTCTCCCCATCTCCAGGGCGACGCCGCGGCCGCGCTGGCGGGGGGCAGGGACACAGGTGACGGCCACCACCGGGAGCAGGTGGCGGATGTGGCACGGGGGGCCCGGGGGGATCTTTGGGGCTGCTCGGAATGGGTGGGGGGCGGTGAGAGGAGGCAGCTGGGGAGCAGCGCCGGGCGGGGGACACGTCCCAGGGTCCCCAGGAAAGGGCGGGGGTCGCTCAACTGTTAAAAAAATTTATTAAAATGTCCAGCAGTACAGAAAGGCAGAGTCAGAAATGGGGAGGGGGCGCCAGGAGGGGGTCGGGGAGGGGGTGGGGACAGTCACGTCGCAAACAGCAGAGATCGGAAAGCGCCGTACACACACACGCACACACACACACACGCCAACTCCAACGGGGACCCGAAACGAGCGGAAAGGGACGGAACCAAACCGAGCACCCCCAAAGCAGGCGCGGGGGGGACACCGTGTGCCCCCCGCCCCACCCCGTGCCCACCGCGGGGACGCCCCGGGGTGCTGGGGCAGGGAAATGGGGAGGGGGGCTGCTGCTAAAAAACCAGAGCCGCCCCAGGTGGGACGGGGGGCTGCCTGATCCACCCCCGATTTGGGGACAGGGACAGAGCCCAGCTTGAGGGGTCCCTGCGCGGGGCTGGGGGCTGCAGCCCGGGCCGGGGGGCTGAGCGTGGGGCATGCAGGGAGGGCTGGGGACGCACACGCAGCCGCCCCCTCCGGATCCTATTCCCTACGGGGCCGGGCATCCTAAGGAGCTAAAGCCAAAAGGGGGCTAAAAAAGGGGGGCGGGGAGGGGGTGGGACGGGGGCGGGGGACGCCACCACGTCCCCCTTGTGCTCGCCCGGCTCTAGAAGTAGTGGCCCTCCCGCATCCAGTCCAGCCGCAGGTGCTGGCGGTGTTTTCGCCGCTCCTTGCGGGGTTTGTGGTGCTGGTGCCGGTGGTGCGGGTGGCTGTGCCGGTGCCGCCGGTGCCGCCGCGCTCGGTGCGACCGCCGGGCTAACGGGGGGCAAGGCGGGGCGGCGGGGGGGTCAGCCCGGCCTGCGGGACCCCCTCCCGCCCGCTCAAACCCCAGCCCCGCACTAACGTTTTGTGCAGAGGATTTTGGGCCGGTCCCACTTGCCGGTGCTGTGGCACTTGATGGTGGGCACGTGGCGCTGCGTGAAGCCCTCGCGGCACTGGTAGCGCACGCTGGAGTGGATGTTGTACTTCTCCTTCCTCTTCCCCACCGGGAAAGCGTTCGGCACCTCCGGGGGGGGCCCGCACAGCACTGGGGGGGGCGGCACAGAGCTCCGTCACCCCCTGTTACTGGGAGTTACTGGGAGTCACTGGGAGGGGACAAGGGACAGCCAGGAGCGCCCCCGCCCATAGCTGGGGACACCGCTGGTGGCTTTGGGACAGGCTCGTCCGTCAGGGTGGCAGCGCGCTGTCCCCAGGGTTTAATTGGTTAATTAATGGCCTTATTGGGGCGTCATCAGCGCGCGGGGTGGGGAGGAGCAGCTGGAGGTTAATGGAGCTTCCCGAGGTAAGGAATGGGAATTTAATGAGTTTAACGGGAGCCAATTAAACAAAGCCGAGCGCCGAGGGAAGGATTGATGGCGGGGAAAGAGGAGAAATGGAGATTTAGGGGAGAACTGGCCCGGGAGAGGGGCTGAGAAAGGTCGGCCGGGGATGGGGAGGGGACGCAGGGACTGCGGGATGGGGACCCGGGACCTGCGGGATGGGGCCGGGGATGCCGGGGCCGCGGGCTGAGGCCGTGCCAGGCTGGGCAGGCCGGCCGGGTGCTACCTGTGCCTTTCTTGCAGATGTAGGGCAGGTTGTAGTTGCAGGGCACGTCGTTCCACTTGCCGATCTCGTGCGACACGAGCACCACGCAGTCCTCGCCGCCCGCGAAGAAGTTGTCGGGCTGGTTCTCCCGCCAGTTCTCGTATTGCTGCGGGGCCACCGGAGAGGCTGCCACCCTCCGCACCCCCTCCCGCACCCCGAGCCCCCCGAGCCCCCAGAGCCCTCACCAAGGCGCTGTTGTCGGTCCACTGGAAGTCCTGCTCCACGATGCGGTCGTTGAGGCCGATCCAGGTGTTCTCGTGGCCGAAACCTGCGGGGAGAGGCACCCGCGGCTCGCACGGAGGAGGCGAGGGACCCCCGGGGAGGGGGCGCCGGGGACCCCCGGGGCCCACCGTTGATGAAGGCGTGCTCCTCCTGCGAGTGGATGCTGGTGAGGTGCCCGGCCCGGCGGCGGCAGTCGCGCTCCGCGTCCTCCCAGGAGCGCCGGCGGGCGAAGTAGCGGTAGCAGTGGCCCTGGAACTTGTGCCAGTTGTGGTCACAGCCCTCCGTGTCTGCGGGGACACGGCGGCAGTGGCGGCACGGCCGGGGACCCACCAGGCAGGATTTGTGTCCCCTTCCAGCCCCACCCGAAGCCACGGCAGGGCTGGGGGACACCGGGGGCTGTCCCCACCTTTCTCGCAGCGGCTGCCGCCGTAGCTGGGCAGGCAGAGGCACACGAAGGAGTTGACCTCGTCGATGCAGGTGCCGCCGTTCTGGCACGGGCTGGACAGGCAGTCGTCGATGTCTGCAGGGACAGCTGGAGCTGCGGGCACGGCGACACCGCCCCGCCACCCCCGAGCGAGCCAGGAAGGGGCATCGGGCAGCGCTCGGGGCCGCGGTGCCAGCCCCGCGGTGCCCGGGCACTCACCGATCTCGCAGTTCTCGCCGGTGAAGCCCGGGGCGCAGCTGCAGCCACACACGGTGCCGTTGGCGCGGCTCGTCCCGCCGTGCAGGCACGGGTTGTTCTGGCACGGGTCCGGCGGCGCTGCGGGGCGGCAGCGCTGCCCTGAGCCAGGCTGGGGGGCGCGGTGCCAACCCCGCTCCCCCCGCATCGGCTCCCGGCCGGGAAACTCGGATAAACGGAGCGACCCCGCCCAAACCTCCGCCTCGAACCCTCCCGTTCTCCCCGCGGCCGCCAGCCCCGGTGCCCACGGCTCGCCGTGCCCGCGGCTCACCGTGCCCGCTGGCATTGCCGGTGCCCACCCAGGCCAGCAGTTCTCGCTCGTCCAGCGCCGCCTCCTCCCCGCTGCCGCTGTCGGTGTCCAGCAGCGGGGACCCCCCCGGGCCCCCCAGCTCCGGCTGCGCCGAGGGCTCCGGGAGCAGCCCCGCGCTCGGGGACCCGGCGGGCTCTGTCCCCCCGGGCTGGGGGGCGCCGGGGGGCGGCCAGGGCCCGCGGGTAGGCGCGGGGGGCTCCTCCCTCTTGGGCTCCCCGGAGGCCTCCTCCTCCTCGTGTCCGGGGACAGCGGGGGTGGCGGGGGGCTGCCGGGGGCCCGGGGGGGACAGGAGGAGCTGCTCGGCCTCCCCCGGCTCCGGCTCGGAGCGCTGGGTGGGCTGCGGGTCTGGGGGAGCGAAGCCTGTGGACCCCTCCTCGGCCACCGGCTCCAGCTCCTCCGGCCGCGCGGGGCTGGCCCACAGCTCCGCCTCGGTGACCGTGGGAGAAGGCGACGGTGAGGGGACACCCCAGGCCGGGGGGGACGCGGCTGCTTCGCTGCTGGGCTCGGCCGCGCCGTTCCCAACCTCCCTGGGCTCCTGCGGCCGCTCCGGGCGGGGCTCGGTCGCGCCGTGCGGAGCCGAGGGGCCGGAGCTGCCTCGGGGCCCGGGAGGAGCCCCCTCGGTGTGGCCGGGGGTGGCAGGCTGTCCCTCGGAGGGACCTTCTGGCTGCAGGAATGTCACCGCCTTCCTCTGCCTCTCCAGCGCGCCGTCCCCCGGGGCCCCGCTGCCGTCCCCGTGGGGCTGCGGGGACAGCTCGGGACCCTCGGCCACCAGCGGGGCCGGGGGCAGCGGGGGCAGCGGGGGCACGGAGCCACCGCGCTCCTGGGACGGGGCGTCCCCGGAGAAGCCCTCGGTGACATCCGCGGGTGGCCCCGGGGAGTCCCCGCGGGCCCGGTGGCCCCGAGCGTCGCGGGGAGTGGCGGGGGATGGGGACGGCACGGGGGGCGTCCCCGCAGGGGTCCCCGAATCCCTCGGGGCCGGCGAGAGAGACACCGGGGCGGTGACCGGGGCCACGAGCTCTGCAAGAGACGGCGCCGCCATGGGGTCACCGAGAGGCGACCGCGCTGGGACCCCCGGCCGCGGCCGGTGTCACTCACCGGGGCTGATGTCACCGGGGCTGATGTCACCGGGGCCGATGGCCTCGTCCAGCGCGTTGGGGGACGCGTGGGGACCCTCGCTGCCGGCTCGGGGGGCGCTCCACTGCTCCACGGCGTTGGCCGCGGCTCCCTTCAGCTCCTGCGCCAGCACGGGGGCCTGGGTGACAATCCCCGCTGTCACCGCGGGGTCTCCTGACACCGCGCTGTCCCCGGCGGCCACCGCGGGGTCCCGGCTGTGCCGCTGGAGCTGGAAGTGGCGCCCGTTGAGGCCGGGGTAGCTGCGCCTCGGGGCGCTGGGGGTCTCCGGGGACACCCCCAGCCCAGGCGGTGACAAGGACGAGCCGGCGCTGCGCTCCAGGGCTGGCCCTTGGGGCGGTGACCGGGGGGTGGCCGGGGGTCCTGCAGGGTCTCCGGG